CCGAGAGAAGCAGCGAGAGCGCGACTTCCACGAGGCACAGGGAGCTGCCACCAGCCCCTGAAGCGAGGTTTTGGCACACACCTTTAGCTCCCAACTGACGTACCCACAACCCAGGGGGGAAAAAAAAACACCCCAACAAAAACATGCCCCAACCAGTGTTTCCGTGAGCAGCTCTCAGCAGCCACAAGCCCACGCGACGGCGCAGCAGCTGGAATCCTCCCAGAGCAGCATCTGGAATCCTCCCAGAGCGCGGAGCTGGGGGGAAAAACCCCAAACCCCTCTCCCTGCCACACCTTGGCGTGAACCTCCTGCTGCCTGACGAAGCTGTCTGCCGACAGCCGCAGCTTGGCCATGCGCGTGTCCCACGTATCCTTGACCAGCGTTCGAATCTCATCAGCTTTGGGGATGTTGTCCGAGGCGCTGGAGGAGGAAAAGAGATCAGTAAAGCAAGTTCTTCAGCCCTCCCAGGCACGAGCAGAGCAGTTTGCCATAGAGGAAAAAAAAAAAAAAACCAACCTGCAACTCAACGTTAAAACCCAGCTCAGTACTTCTGCTGCTGGGATTTGTGGGATGGTTTATTTACCCGGGAATGCTCGGCTCTGATGCAGCATCTGGTTCTCACTAGAATCCTTCTGCTCTTTAATTGCCCAGCTGGTACGAAGTACACGGAGGGCCAATAACCCGGCCAGAGTCACAGGCAGCCAGGGAATTGAAAGGACTCGGCAGCGATTAGAGCCCCGGCTCTGCGCTCTTGCGGCTCTTTCAGGGAGTATTAAGTTGAAAGGACCGTACGGGTCGTGCCTCATCCTCCCATTAAGGCAATTCAGCGCTGCCATAAGGACCTCGAGAGATCAGATCGATTCACACGGACAGAGCTGTCAGGGTTATTCTGGCGTGGGGGGGAAGGAGCCACACGCCAAGAGCGGCGCCTCCAGAGGAAAAGCCAGCGCTTAAATGACCACCCCGCCGTCACCAAGGGCTTAAAGTCAGAAGAGCCGAGAAAAAATACCAGCCAGCACATTTTACAAGTGAAATGTCTCAGCAGGCAGGAGCTCAGCCTCGGAATATCCCCGGTCTCCTGCTTCTTGGGCCGAGGAAAGAGGAGCTTCCCTGCTGACGGAGAGCCAAGGCAGAAGCCTGGAGGGTTTAGGCTGCTGAACAGACTGCAGCCACGGAACGTGTTGCCGATCCTCAAGGCCTCCACGCTCAGCTGCCGCTCAATAAAGCGGCACAGCCCCAATTATCAGGCCGCGGAACAAGCAATCCCCAAGTTACCGAGAAGGCAAAGTTGCCACGAGAAAAGTGCTGCAACGCGATCTTGGCAGGCTGTGAAATAAACCCCCATTAACTCCCGCTTTCCCACCGCCCTCTGGGGTTGCTGCCAAGGAAAGCTTGAAAATTCATCTATGCAAGCATGTACTTGGGCGGAAACTGTTACATTTCCTACTCACTAGTTTAACAGCAGCTTTGTGAGTTCCATGTAATAGGGGCTGGGCATGGGAGTGAAGGTGTTCTCTTTACGTTCCTGGTCCCGGATTTCCTCCAGCTTTTCTAAAATACAACCAGGAACGGTCAGGCATTCTCAGACCTTCAACGCTCCGGGTGTTTTTACCACCTCCCCAAGAAAACCCACAGGTTATTTCTGTAGGACCAGCTCTACGTCCAAGGTTGAATCAAGGTGTGGCCAGAAAAATGTTTCTGTAATGAAGTGCACAAGGATGCCGAGAGGGACACTGAAGCACACGTCATGTCTGGGGGCTGGATCTACACCAGCTCCATCCCCAGAGCTTGTGAGGAGAAGGTCCCTTTGCCCTTTGCACTTTGGTCAATTAATGTTTGTGCTCTTGAATAAATGAAGGTCTCCCCCTTATTGCAGCCCCATTAGCGTTTACTCCTCCTCTTTCAGTTTCCCCTGTGATGACCAAAGGGAGGCGGCCACGATTCTCACTTTTTCGAGAGTGAGACGACCTCCCATTCCCGATGCCCTCAAGGAAAATGATTTCAGGGAGCGAATGAACCAGTGATCAACAGGAGTGAATGAACCAGTGATCAACACGTGTTTGTGCTCTTCCACAGTGTCAGCTGAGGTCCCCAAAGCTTTTTCTGCACAAGCCTCAGGAGAGATGCCAAGTGCTGCTCAGGAAGACCAGCAACCACTGCTGACAATGGGTTCAATCACAGAACGTTAGGGGTTGGAAGTGACCTCAAAAGATCATCGAGTCCAACTTGACCCTTGTTCTTCCCCTTCACTAGAGGAACAGAAGTTAAATATGTGACTTAACTGGGAAGATTACATCTGTAAATATACAGAATTCCAGTGGTGGAACACTAGATCCTTCTCAGAGCTACTTTGTGTTTGTTGAAGGAAGCTTTCCACTAATGGTGAAAAAAAGGTTTGTTTTGTGGGTTTTTTTTTTTTCAATTTTGTGTTTCTGCTGCACCCACTGAAGCCCAGAGGCTGAAGCAGCCACCCGTACCAACGTCCATCCAGTCCGGAGGAATCAGCCGGCACTTCTGCCTCTGCTTCAGGTTAATGGCCAACCAGACAGGAACTTCCACTGGCAAACCGGGATTGAAAGGACCCAGATCTCCCTGGATGGACAATTTGAAGACAAGAGTAAAGCAGCAGCAAGGGCTCAGCCACCACAGAACTCGTCGCCTGCTGATTTGGCCTCAGCCGTCTCTAGAGAGCGTGAGTTTCCAGGGGATTTTGCAAAGCCCAAGTCAAATAGCATCTGAATTTCAGCCTCTTGCTTCCCATAATTCTTGCTCTCAGGCTTTTCCTCCTCTCCCTCGAGGAGCAATAACTAACGTTTCCAGTGCATTTTCAATTTCAAAGCGTTTCACAGAAGCTACAGCCAGAAATTACATCTATCCTGGAAACTCAGTCCCGCCAGGCTCAGGCCGAGGCGCTTTCAGAGGCACCAGCGTGGCAGATCTTGGCACCCGCTGCCAGAGCTGGGGGCTCCCCACCCAGGTCACCCCCTCCAGCCCTGAGCCCGGTGC